AAAAAAAAAAAAAAAAAAAAAAAAAAAAAAAAAAAAAAAAAAAACATAGTTTCACATATTTTTTGCGGTTTCGTTTTTTATTACAAGATTTTGTTCCTTCATCGTGGAATTTATACGTGAACATGAGTAGGTATATCGTTCTCTTGTACGGTGCTCCCGTGTGGTCGCCCGCACTTACCGCGCGAAACGCGGCTCTGCTGCTCAGAGCTCAGCGGGCGCTCGCAGTGAGGGTCATCAGGGGGTACCGCACCATCTCTCAGGATGTGGCCTGTGCCCTCACCGCATCCTTACCATGGGACCTCGAGGCCGAAATCCTGGCCGCGACATACCAACGGAGAACACAGTCCTCGACTCGGGAACGGACACTGTCGATCGGTGGAGGCGTGCTGCGCGTAGTCTGGCGTATGCCAAATGGAGAGAGCGCTTGCTGGAGGAGCTCTGCCGAATTTCGGCCACTCGTCAGCGCACGCTCGAGGCACTGGTACTTGTGCTGGAGGCATGGTCGGACCGGCGATACGGTGAGCTCTCCTTTCGCCTCACCCAGGTCCTTTCGGGGCATGGATGCTTCGGGAGGTATCTGTGGAGAGTCTGCGGAAGGGAGCCACATCCGGGCTGCCACCAGTGCGGGCACCCGGACGATGACGCTCAGCACGCGCTAGAAGCGTGCCCACGGTGGGAGCATCCGCGGCGAAACCTCGTCGCGGTGTTGGGGCAGGACCTCTCTTTGCGGGCTGTCGTCGCCCGTATGGTAGAGGACCGGAGTTCGTGGGAGGCCATGGCCGGTTTCTGTGACTTGGTCATGGTGTTTCGTGAGGCTGAGGAGTGCGAAAGGGAATGGGATCCCTCTTCGGCTCCTCAGCGCAGAAGGCGGGATGGACGGCGCGTGCGAGAGGCCGCCGCTCAGCCCTCGTAGGGACTATCGACTCGACTGTTGGTCCGGTGGTGAAGCGGTGCAAGGTGGCTCCTGTGCGCCGCTCACGGTGTGTCTCCCGAGAAGAGGTTATTCGGGATTTTCCCGGAGATGAGATCCCGTCTTAACATTTGTACGGGTACCGGATAAGGCGAGACTTTCGGCGCGCACCGCGGTACCGTAAGTTTCGTGTAGTCGGTGTGGTGGAGCTCGATGGGGTTTAGTCGGTAGTCGTTCTGCGGGGCAAGTGCTTCGCGCGCCTTTTTCAAGGCGTAGTCTCCTGTGAGAAATTGGGGGAGGTGGAGGACCTCGCCCCTTCTCTTCTCCCCTTCTTCCTCTCAGGAGGCGCCGGAGTCCGACATAACCCGGTCCGTTACCCCCCTCGACCGGGTATCCACAAATGGATTCCCCAGCGTCAAAAAAAAAACAAAAAAAGGTATATCGTTCTCCCCGACCTGTCCGTCCACCATGAACATGAGTAAGTTCTTATTAAATTAGAAAAATGGTCCCTTTCTGCATGATTTGAACATCGGCATAGTCGTATCACTCGATACGAGTATACTGGCCATCTTATCCTTTAGACCACGATCACTTCGACGATTGTCTACACGAAAAAATTTTTTTTTCCTAAGCCGGCAGATTGAGACTTACAAGTAGGTATTCATTAGGAAGGAATAGCTGCTTATTGGTACATAGAGAATTACAGTACTATTCGCTTGAAGAGATTCTCAATAACACAAACAGCAACTTTGTAAAATTTTCTGGTTGTTTTTTTTATTGCTTAGATGAGTGAATGAATAGCCTACCTAGTGTGAAGTGGTTACTGGAGCCTATAGACATCTACGACGTAAATGCACCACCCACCTTGAGATATATGTTTTAAGGTCTCAAGTATAGTTATGACGGCTGCCCCACCCTTCCAACCGAAATGCATTACTGCTTTACAGCAGAAATAGGCAGGGTGGTGGGGTAATACCTACCCGCGCGGACTCACAATAGGTCCTACCACCAGTGGTTGTTTTTACTAATACGAATTTATTCGTTTGCCTTGAATACGTCGACACGTGCTTACTTTCTTATAAAACTGTCACTTTAATAAGTGCAGATTTAGATTTGATTTGTCCGAGCTAGTCCAATATAATGAATTCAATAAACAAATTAAATGCTCGTAGTTAAATTAATTGATGGGACCGCCACCGTTCGTTCCAGTTAATTATACACATCCTTTGTAAAGTTTCTATGCAGGTCGAAACGCGTGAATGTATTTTAACAATATTCAAAGATACCGATAATTATGCTTACAACATCGAAGGGGTGCGCTTTGAACCAAGCCCCTCATTTATTACCACGTCTTGCCATTGCCCGAGTCAGATATTTGTTTGTACGCACGACACTGAATGAAACATTATTACGAAATGTTGCATTCGGGATTTGATACTGCGAACTTAGTTTTAATAATTTAGCACCGTAACCGCTAAGCATGTAAGATCGAGAGAACGACTTTAATAATTTAAAACGCTACTCTTACAAGTTTTTGGACCACATGCATCCCCGGAGAGCCAGAACGTGACTTCGTAAGTAAGTAGGTTTTGTTTTTTAGTTTGTTAGAAACTAACGCTTAACATTCTAGATGTTTTGAACACGCTTTTATTAGCTTGTTCTGTTTATTTGGTTTGTGTAACGTAATCTCTCAACGTAATTTCCGTTTCTTTCTTCTGACTGACTTGATATTTCGGCCACGTATCAAGAATAGCTTATATAATACTCGTAGTTGACAACAGAATCATGTTATTGTTTGGGCTTAATATCATGACTAGGATAAATACTTGTATTTTTTTTTTAAATGTTTTTTGCTAACTTGCTTCTTTAGTTTTTAAGCTATATATGTATTATACATATTTATTTATGCATCAACGAGCGCCCCCATGAGAAGAAAGAAGAGAGAAGAAGTAATAACAAAGAAAGGAGAATGGAAGAGAGAAGAGAAGAGCAAGACAAACAACACGCCAAATTCTCACACTACTAAATTATAAACACGACCCACTCAGGAATCGTACCAGCAACCTCATCACCCCTGCCTCGTCAGGCAGGAAGTCCAAGCCCGGGCAGAGGGGATTGCCCCCAGGCCCGATCCGTGCAAGGGGACACGAAGACCCAACGACGATTATACTTTTTTATTATTTTGTCACGCTTTGAACTCACTTGTGGGTACTATCACCCGGGTCTGAAGGGTAGGTACGGTAATCGTTTTAACATTAGCGATTGAATCAATCTCAGTCTACGTCTAGAAAGTTTCGAAATAATATTTTAGTGAAATGAAAAATAAATTTACAATACCAAAAAATCTAAAAAGATTTAGAAACAAATTTTATGTAAACATTACTTTGGCAGATGAGTTATTGAGCGTAGCCCGACGAAAAGCGTTCGTAAATGATTTTCAATAAAAAAAATTTTTAATAGCCCTTTGAAAATGTCAATAATGGCTTCCGAGTATAACAATAGGGTTCCGCTGGCGGACAGCCGGCATTGTCATCGAGGCTCAATAGGTGCCTTGACAGTGGAAAATGGCTCCTCGAATCATTTGCCTTTATGCAATGAACGGTGACAAGTCTTCTTTTATACAACGAGAGTAATTGAAATCTCATCTGTGAGCGTCCGACCGGTGATCGGTTTATCATCAACTCTCAAAAGAATCCGCTGGCTTAGCAGTAGCATGGGAGTCTTTCATGCCGGCAATCACGCCTGAAAATTCTCCACGTGACGATTTCATAAACTCAGTCGTCCTATTAGCTATAAGGTTATTTTTTTAATGTCGTCTGCAACAGTTATGTTAAATTGTATTGGACCAGGCCAGATAAATAAAATCTAAATATGCATGTAAAGTGACACTTTTTTTAGGAAAGTATCGTAAGTATCGAAAAGACAGGTAACGTAAAAGTAAACGAATAAATACGTATTAATAAAAACTAGAGATCCCGCAGTAGACGAAATTCGACTATAATTAATTGGAATTGTAAGTTTGTACTCTATTATGATTGTATTTTATACTTCTATAATCACAAATTTCGCCAAGACTACACTATAAAAAATATTAACAAAGACAAACAATATTTAACCTATTCTCAATTTGACAACAGACGTCAAGAACAAAAGTTTGACAATAAATAGTATGCATGCGTGTGTGCGTCAAATATATAGTATGTAGTGTGTGTAATGTTTTCTTTATTGATTTAATGTATCTTTTATGCATTATTTTAAATAAATATTAACATTGTGCACTTCTTCTCTATATTCTCTATAAGTGTGGAAAATTTCATACTCCTCCATCCGCGCAATTTTCGTAAAAAGGGATACAAAGTTTTTGCTTCACGTATTAATATATAGATTAGATTTTTTTTTAATTTGCTTTTTATCATATTGAGAATCTCTTCAAGCGGATAATACTGTAATAAGCAGTTATTCCTACCTGTCACATGAAAATCAATAAGCAAGTTTACACTAAAAGTACTAAAATACTAAAAACAAAAAAGTACGATTGGCGGTCTTTTATTTATTTATTGCTTAGATGGATGGATGAGCTCACGGCCCACTTGTTTTTAAGTGCTTACCGGAGCCCATGGACAAGTACAACGTAAATGCCGGTATCTACCTTGAGATATGAGTTCTAAGATTTCAGTCACATAAGAATAATCTCTTACAGATAAACAATGAGAATAACGAGAATTTTCGTTCAAAAAAGTTGGTAGGTTGCCGTCCATATAAATCTATACTAATTTCAGTTTTGATATTAATTATTATATAATATGATGTATAATGAGCCTCTATTACTAATTATTTACGTCTGTAATTTTTTTATTTTGATTGTATATTGTTTCATTTGAGAATAACAATATTTTTCGTCCAATTTTACTAAAATATAAAAAAAACACTGAAGTACAAAATCATAGAAAAACTGGTATTTCTTATTTCGATAACGGGAACTGGAGATATGGCAATAATAATCCGATATAAGTTGTGAATTCGTTTCAAACGCATCCGTATTATTTATTTTAAACGCAGAAAAGTGTAGGATTAAAATGGATTGTTGTTTGGTTGCTTTGAATTATACCAAATAACAATCATGACTTTGTTAAACTTTTTAATTAAAATGTTGAGAACTTGGTGTAACTCTGTAATTATATTATAATAAGTAACTCAGTAGTAAGCAATTCAGTAACTATATAGCAACTAGCAACTAATCTTTGAAGACTACAATAATGCTCTGTTGAATATGATATTCATGTATGTTCTCAAGTGCTCTTTAAAGCGTATTTCACTTTGAAAACATTCTCAGCACAATAAACCCTGCACTGAGCGACTGCATCTGCGCTAGATAAAACTTTTAATGACTCTGAGCATTCGAGTATAAAAGATGCGATTCCAGTCGCGCTGTTCCTTCATCCAGATGTCAGGATCGACGCCGAGGAGCCTAATCGATAAGAAAACTTCTCGATTGAAAAAGTTTTATGCATCCACCTAGCTATTAATCGATTTAGCACTGAAGCGATGCAAACTCAATTGAACTCGCCGATTTGAATGAATACAATGACGTCAAAAAATTTTCATTCGAGTAATGTAATTGATTCAGCACTGGATATTTTTTTTAACATGAATTTTATTATTTAGCTGAAAGTTGAAGAAGCATGAACGAAGTCAGGTGTTTCCTAACACGACACCAAGAAAATCAGACTGGCGGCATTTTTTTATAGCAAGCATTGTATTCAAAATAAAATCAACAATCACGTGGAATATACGTATTTAGTTTTTGTCAGTTATTATTATTACCCTGTCACATCGCTGACTGTGCCAAGATTTAAATCTCGCAGACTGATACTAAAATAAATTTGTTAGAGAAAATATTTTTTCCCGATGATTTCTACGTATTGAATTCCGGTGTACTGTAATCCCGCAATGATGCATACCATCACTTCGCCTATTAAGGGTGGGAGAGACGCTATTACTGT